TCTGACATAGGGGCTGGGGGGCTCCCCTTGCTGCCTGGCATGCGCTGCCCCCTGGGACTTGCAGGGCTGACTCAATTGCCCCCGTCAAGGCTTCGTTTCAACCTCACCTCTGAGGCTTTGGCAGGCCAGGTCCCTGAAAAGCTGATGGCAAGGTGACCCCATACAAGAGTGATTGGGGGATGCGCCTGTGTAGAAGAGAGAGCTGTGTGGAATTAGGCATACAAGAGTGAGTGGGGGCCCTGACCGGTTTGGCTCAGTGGATAGAGCGTCGGCCTGCAGACTCAGGGGTCCCAGGTTCGATTCTGGTCAAGGGCATGTACCTTGGTTGCGGGCACATCCCCAGTAGGGGGTGTGCAGGAGGCAGCTGATCGGTGTTTCTCTCTCGTCGATGTTTCTGGCTCTCTATCCCTCTCCCTTCCTCTCTGTAAAAAATCAATAAAATATATATATATTTTTTAAAAAAAAGAGTGATTGGGGACGCACCTGTGTAGAATAGAGAGTGAGGGAAAAGGAACAGGAGAGACAGGCCTCAGGTGCCCTGCGGAGCCCACACCTGGGAACAGAGGCGGGCAGGGTGCCTGGATGAGCCTCAGGTTGCAGTGCAGCTCCGAGAAGGTCTTACCTGGATCCATTTCCCACTGGGTGTCCCAGGTGGGGTGGCAATAGTGCTCCCGTCACACTTAGTCATTGGCATTGAGCTCCTGCGAGGGTGCTCGCTCTGCTCCGGGGTCAAGGCTGCGGCGAGGGCAAAGACAAGCCGCTGAAGGCTCTCGGCCACTTCCACTCCGTGGGGCAGGTTGCCTTCGAGGGAGATTTGAGTGGTGCCCCTCAGGCCACGGAGCTGAGCCTGACTACCCCGTGTGACACTGCCCACCGCCACGCATCCCTCCCCATCACGGGGGAACTGTGTGAGCCATTATCTTTATTATTTGAAATCTTGACGCTAGTCAGTCGCAGGAGAAAAAGGCTCAGCCGGTTAATAGGAATAGCAAATCAGAGTGCCATCACAGGCAAAACATGTAAGAGGTGAGAAGACCTTTAGCAGTAGAACCGGAAGGTATGTCTTCCAAGTAACACCGAGACCAGTCACTCTCGCTTTCCGAGCCTCAATGCATTGATCTACAGAATGATTGGGTTGAACTCAGTCCCCACTGAATATGTCCAGGAAGTTTTTTTTTTAATTTCTTTCTTGATCTCATCGGTAACCCACTCATTGTTTAATAACATGCGATGGAGCCTCCGTGTGTCTGAATGCTTTTGGGTGTTTTTACTGTAGTTGATTTCTAATTTCATTCCAGTGTGATCTGAGAAGATGCTGGATATGACTTCAATCTTCTTGGACTTGCACAGACTTGTTTTGGGTCCTAACATGTGGTCTGTCTTTGAGAATGACCCAGGTGTGCTGGCGAGGAATGTGTGTTCTGCAGCTTTGGGGTGCAATGTTCTATAAATTGAATGTTGAATTGAATATCTGTATCTCTAACATCTCTTCCGGCTTCAAACATGTAGGAATTCAACACTGCCCTCTGAAACCACAGGTTGTCCTGGTGGCCCTGAGCAAGGGGTGAGGATGAGTTTACAAATCCAAATGCAGTGTTTTTTTCGGGGCAACAGGCCAGCCAGTCATCACATGGAGTTCCTATTTCCAGGTGACTGCTCGCCTGCATTGTGGCACAGCTGAGGGGGGCAGCTTTGTTGCTCTTACAGGCTGTACTGCTTCAACGCAGGCCCGAGCTTCCTAAACGCCATCAGAACGTTTCATCCTACTGAGCATATAAGAAACACATCTCAAACACAACTCATGGACATAGGCAGCGCAATGCGGTGGTTCTCAACCTTCCTAATGCCGCGACCCTTTAATACAGTTCCTCATGTTGTGGTGACTCCCAATTTCATTTTTACAAATTGAACATAATTAAAGCATAGTGATTAATCACAAAAACAATATGTAATTATATATGTGTTTTCCGATGGTCTTAGGCGACCCCTGTGAAAGGGTCGTTTGACTCCCAAAGGGGTCGCGACCCACAGGTTGAGAACCTCTGCCCTAGAGGGTTACCGGGCTCACATAGGTGGCCTTTCTTCCTGAGCTGTTGCACGGAAGGACAGTGAGCTAAACACCGGACGCGATCCACCTGCCAGTCCCTGTTCGGGTGGGATCGGCCACCCTACTTCAGAGACCGGGAGCCCGCAAGCATCCGCTGGAGGAACGCACAGGAGCCCAGCAGGTCCAGCTCCAGGGAAGCCAGTCCCCGCATACTTTTCAGCGGGACATCCTTCCCTCCGGTTTCCACGCTGCAGGCTGCCTGCTCCACGGCGCACCTCAGGCCATGCCCCCCTAAACTGAGTCTCCGGGGGTGTCCGGATCCGGTGCCTTCCAGCCGGGGCAGCGCAGCCCCTGCGACGTCACAGTGACTCCAGAGACGCGTAACAAGTGAATGAATGAACCCGCAGCCTGGGGTGAAGGAGTGAATGGCCGCTCCGCCCGCACTCCTTCCTCCCCCGGGCTCCGCGGAGAAAACGCCGCGCGAACTTAGCAACAGGGTTGAAGCGCTTCGACGGGTCGGACGGACGGAAGCGAAGACACCAGATGGGAAAGGCGA